CCTGAGGTCAGGAATTCGAGACCAGCCTGGCCAACATGGCAAAACCCCAACTCTACTAAAAATACAAAAATTAGCCAGGCGTGGTGGTGGGTGCCTGTAATCCCAGCTACTCGGGAGGCTGAGACAGGTGAATCGCTTGAATCCAGGAGGCACAGGTTGCAGTGAGCCAAGATCGTGCCACTGCACTCCAGCCTGGGCAATAAGAGTGAGACTCCACCTCAAAAAAAATTAAAAATTCACAGAAAAAATACTTGAAGAAAATTATTAATGACTGTGATTTTTGTCACGTTTTCTCATTTTCTAGTACTTTTGTAATAGAAAGTACTAGTTCCTTCCTTAAGAAAATTCTAATGTTAAGCAATTATTCACTCTCATTTTTTAAAAAAAAATGACTAAGAGTGCTTTTAAAATAACCATTTACTTAATGGCATACCTGGAATAAGTGCTGTGCTGATAAGGATGTCTACCTCCTTGCACTGTTGAGCAAAGAGTTTCATTTCAGCTTCAATGAACTCTTTGGACATCTCTTTTGCATATCCTCCTTGTCCCTCACCAGACTCCTTCAAGTCCACCTCCAAGGGCTCAGCACCCAGAGACTTGAACTGTTCCAAAGCTGCAGCTCTAGGGTGATTGTTAAAGTGGAAAGCATAGTTATTTTAGGCCCTAATAAGGAAGTCAAGATTATCATTTACATATACATTTTTAAGAACAACAAACTATATATTCAAAAGTCAAGAGTCCCTTGATTTTGTACTTAATTGTTCTGATTTTTTTTCTAAAAGCAAGTTACATTTTTACGAGAATATTCTTTTCTGAAAGCAAAAAAACTATTGAGAATTCCAACTTCTACTTAGTTAAGTTGCAAAAGCAATTTCACAATTGCCAACTCCAGTAACCAACTGTGTTCCTTATGACCCCAATGTGGACGATGATGTGATATCTGATATACATCAGGATTTGACAGCATTCAAATCACTCAAGATGAGGTTTTTCACTTGTAAATATTCTGAATTTGTTCTTATTAGATAATTTTCCCACAAAAAAATATTCTAATGTAATTTTTTGCCCCCACCCTGTCCTCGTTAAATTATGTTTGCAAAAAGTAACCTATAAATGATATAATAAAGGGTAAAATGTGAAAAGCCAACACATTTAAATTATGTAAAACTAATTCAGTTTTAAATAAGTAAATAAATGCTACCCAAGTACTGTCTCCTGGTTAGAAAAGCAGAGCCAACAAAGACCTCAGCTCTGTGGTGGACAGTGCGTGTAATTCACCAATATCCATTCCACTAAGGTAAATCCCAAGCCCTCTAATGACAATAATCACTCAGGGTACTTGTTAAAAATTCAAATTCCCAGGCCCCGTCCCAGATCCACTAAATTATAATCTCCAGCAGGCAGGCCAGATGCTATATTATTTTTAGCAAGAACTGTAGGTCTTCCTTTGTCATCAGGGAAGTTTGGGAAACAGTGATCTGAGCCAATAAATCCCTAGCAACCATCATGTTCAAAAGTGTGCATAAAGGGTAGGACATACAGTCTATGGTTGAGCAAGAGTTTCTCTCTCTGCTGGCTTGAGCAAGGAATCTGGTAGCCCAGATTGCCTCTGGAGGTAAAGTTGCAACCACAGTGGAATCAGCCTTAGGAGGAAGCCAAAGCCAAGGACAACAGAGAAGAGTGACAGAAACTGGTCCTTGACAGCACCGAGGAGCATCTAACTGTAATGTGAAAAGGAAGTCCTTCCCCTGGATTCTCAGTTAGAAGAAAGAATACATTTTCTTATGGTTTAAGCCAATCTGAGTTGGTGTTCCATTTGTGGCAACCACAGGGATATAGTTCTTTAAAAAGCTTCAGAAATGTCTACCAATATTAATAAGAAATAAGATGAATTCAAAATGTTATATGTGTATGTATGTGTGTATATATATATACATGTGTGTGTCATATATGTATGTATACATATATACATATGTATATGTATATCAAATGATCCAAATTTTGTTCAAAAGTTATATACAGCCGGGCATGGTGGCTCATACCTGTAATCTCAGCACTTTGGAAGGCTGAGGTGGGCAGATCACCTGAGGTCAGGAGTTCAGGAGGACCAGCCTGACCAACATGGAGAAACCCCATCTCTACTAAAAATACAAAATTAGCCAGGTACGGTGGCACATGCCTGTAATCCCAGCTACTTGGGAGGCTGCGGCAGGAGAATCGCTTGAACCCAGGAGGCAAAGGTTGCAGTGAGCCAAGATCATGCCGTTACACTCTAGCCTGGGCAACAAGAGCAAAAATCCATCTCAAAAAAAAGTTATATACATAAATCTCTGAAGAAATTATACCAGAATATCACCAGCAATTATATCTGGCTGATAGAATTATAAAAGTTATTTTCATTTTCTTCCTTATGTTTCTCTGTATTTTTTGATAATTAATATGTATCATTAGATACATAAGCTATTTTTAAATCTCTGCTGTTATATCTTTGCCCATAAAATAATTTCATCATTTAAAAATACTATATTAACATTATAATGTGAATATCTTTTGACTCCAATATTTCCTTAAAATTTATCTAAGGAAAAATGAGATATCTCCAGAAACGTATGTTCTCTGCTATACAGTCATCCCTCAGTATCCATGGGGAATTTGTTCCAGGACACCCCTCTGATATCAAAATCCACGGATGATCAAGCTCCTTATAAAAGACAGTGTAGTATTTGCACACACCTACATACATCTTCCCAAGCAGCTTAAATCACCTCTAGGCTATTTATAATGCCTAATAAATGTAAACGTTATGTAAATAGCTGTTATACCATATTGTTTCGGGAATAATGACAAGAAAAACAAACTTGTTTCTAGCTCAGTACAAACACAATCTTTTTTCTGAATATTTTTGATCTGGTTGAATCCACAGATAATAGAACCCCTGGATAGAGGGCTTACTGTATGTCTCTACGTGTATATTGACCTACAGAGTATTGTTTAAATATAGTAAAAAATGTCCATTTATAGAGGACTAGTAAAATAAACTACTGTACTTCTATATGATGGAATCTTCTGTAGTCATTAAAAACATTTGCAGGTAAGGAAAGATCTTCATTATCTACTGTTAAATGAAGAAAGGTAAATGGAACAGTAAATTTACATTTTTAATTAACGTGTAGAAGTAACACATGAAAAAACTAAGTTATCTCTAGGCAGTGGGACTTTAAGCTATTTTATTTTCTGTTTTTGTGCTTTTTCATATTTTTCTGAATTGGAAGAATAATCATGTACTATTTTATGATAGGAAAGAAAGCAAGGTTTTTATATATTTAAACTTTGTAACACAGGCATTAGGCAAGATAATCACTATTGCTAAAAGGGGAATCTCCTAGTAATTTTTTGAAAGAATTCAAAAATTAGATCATTTAAATATCATTGAGCAACGAGCTGTCCGTAAGTTTTTAGAATATTTAACTGAAAATATATACCACTTAATCTTCCAACAAGAATTTAAAATCAAGTCTGTTTTCCAACACATATGGATTTCATATTTACCATATTAAACCAACCCTGTCTCAAAATACTGACTAGAGTAACTAATGAGGTATAATTCTTAGAAAAGTATTATATCACTTCAGCCACATCTTTCTTCATTGTATACTTGAGATACCTGTATAACGAACTTAATAAATTATAAAGAAAAATTGAGTTTTTGTATTTTTCTAATATAAGCAATAGCCATATTCTAGCTGTCTATTCTGTATACAACCTAAAAAATGACATCAATATACTAAATTCTCAGTGGTTCACCCACCACCAAATTTCAAATTACCTTTAGGTCAAACACATGCATTTCCATTTTAATACTACTGTCCACTACAATGAAAACTTGAACTACCTGCTTTCTATGGGCTTGGCGGTCTTGAGAAAACTTCACATCAACAAACAATAAAAATGAAATGACAGGATCAATGGCATGCTTAACTCTCTCTATCCTTGGTTTGTGTCCTGCTTATTTAGGAAACGCCTTATTTTCTCATTTCAGCAGGACAGCTTTTTATCAGTATATCACTTTAACTCCAGATAAAGACTATTAACCACATTTTATGGAACATTCTTTACTCTGAAAAGTCACATTCTTCCAACTTTGAATGGTTGCTTTTTTTCCTTTTTTGATCAAAATTCAAGATTAACAGTAGTATTAGTCCTCCAGTACCCTCAGCCGATAATAAATAACTACATTTTTCAGCCTCAAAAATTATTAAAACACATATTAACAGTACTCAACCTACATTTAATAAAATCCAGTATCTAGTGTCTTTTGAAATGAAGAATTTTAATCAAACTTCTCTTTAAAGACAATCTACAAAATGTGTATATGTCAGCATTAGAGAAATACACAGTGTACATAATCAAGCACTTTCACTCAGGGGCTTGAAAATTATCATAAAAATATATGCAACTCTATCTTAACACCAAACGCAGGAAGCATAAATAATGCATGTGTTGTTAGGTGAAGTGTCAGTCAGCTTTATTTGCTTCTATCCATTCAAGGTAGGGCATCCCCCTGACTCAGCCTGCTATTTTACTCTCTTCAGATTCACAAACATCTCAAACATGCCCTAACTAGTGCCTAAAAGCATTCTAAACAGAAATAGGACATGGTAAAGCAACATGTTAGAAACTCAGGTTAGAGAGAATTCTGGTCCCATTGTCAATCCACCCAAGAAAACAGAGCTGTGAGTTGTTAGTTTGATTATTTGGGATTTTTAAAATTATTTCTGCTGTACTGAGGCTAGGTCCTTAATTTTTTTTTTCACTGAGTAATTTTCACTTTGCGTTAACTTTTAAAAAGTGGAAACATTTTTCAGTGGAAAGAGCTTATAGACCAGCAGCAATGTGCAACTTCAATCTATGAAGTTTAAGGAAAGCATACATTTTAAGTAAAGCATTATATGCCCCTGAAACAAAATGTTTTTACCTTAACATCAGTCACTCACCTTGTGTCAAATCCTCTAACAATTGCACCCATCGATTTTGCTGCACCTGCAGAAGCAAGCCCAGCAACACCACCACCAACTATCAGAATCTAGAAAAGAAGACAGAGCCAGTTATGTGTTAAGGCTCATTAGCAACTCATACTGAAAAATCATCTGCTAACAATTATTGGTGTCTAGTATAAGTTTAGCATCAATAAATGGCAGTGCTGATGGTGATAACGATGATCAGCCCTTAATAACTGGATGGAGTAAATAGACTATTAACTGAACCGCCGCTGATCTTAAAATTTTATTAAAGAAACAGCTGCTAGCAAAGGCCAACAAACCTTCACTAAAAACAACCTAATAATCAGCATATCCATGTAAAATCTACCTATGCATGATCAGCATTATGTATGTTGAAGATTAACAGATTCTTTCCCACTGTCTAAAAGTTCCTTCTACTAAAAGTTCCAGTGTGGCATTATACCTACCTTTACCCTATCAAATTCTAAGGTTTTTCTTTGTTCATCAAACATCAAAACACATTTCAAAGATGGGTACAACACTGGTGAAACATCTACCCCAACATTTATTGTGAGCCAAAATGCTTCTGAAAGGAACAGCTATTGAGCAACCACAATTCTGAACCATTTTGAGCAACTCTATGTAAGTCTCAGGCAATGTAACTAACGTCCCTAATCATGGAAGGATCAGCAACAAGAGAACCAAAGAATTCCTCAGAAATAAGAGTCTCCTCGCCCACTCTTCTAAGAAACAAAAGAACAATATTGTCTCCAGTTTGGAATGGGCCTTCCCAAAGTCCTTTTATATATCTCATAAACAATCAACTGAAGGCAACACTTTGTTCCTGTAGAAAAAAATGCCACCCACAGAATCAGTGAAGCTTACAAATTCCCACCCACCCATCATGCCCACATGTTCCTCTGCCTTTACAAAGACTAGGCTAGTCAGACTGCTCCAGTGAGCTCTGGGCAGTGTCTCAGAGGTCATGTGAACTGGTCTTGATAACGATGGTGTGTTTGGGGACAGGGGGATATCTACAAGAAAGGGTGCAAAGAGTGACCAGAGGGAATAAGCAGGCTCTAGGCTTGGGGCCCGAGGAGTTCAAGGCCTGCCTCATCAGCCTGGGCTACGACGTGGAGAATGACTGGCAGGGTGACGCCGAGTTCAACCGCATCATGAGCCTGGTTGACCCCAGCCACAGCGGCCTTGTGATCTTCGAAGCCTTCATCGACTTCATGTCTCGAGAGACCACTGACACGGACACAGCCGACCAGGTCATCACCTCCTTTAAGGTCTTGGCAGGGGACAAGAACTTCATCACAGCCAAGGAGCTGTGGAGAGAACTGCCCCCCGACCAGGCCGAGTACTGCATCGCCCACATGGCGCCCTACCAGGGCCCTGATGCCGTGCCCGGTGCCCTCGACTACAAGTCCTTCTCCACCGCCCTGTATGGCGAGAGCAACCTGTGAGGCTCCAGAGACCCAGACCAAACACCCCCCACGGCCTCCTGGAGGGGCCGCAGAAGCCCCACAGTCCTGTTCCTCCACTCTGTTAAAAAAAAAAAAAAAAGAGGGAAGGAGGTAAGAAAAGAAAAGAGTAAACAAAATAAGTAAAAGTGACAGAACTTAGCCAAGTTATCCTGAATCAAGACATAACAAAGAAATCCATAGTTTAAAAAACAGAATTGCACAAGAGTAAAGCAGCAGATCTTACCATAGAAATTTACTTTTTCTCTCTAAAGAATGAAGTAAAGAAAAAGACACAGAGAATAAGAGTCAGAGAGCTTAGGTCAAAATCCTGCCCCTGTTACTAACTAGTTCTGGGTGATCTTGGGCAAGCTGCTTATCATCTGCAATATAGCAAAGTGCCTTCTCAGACTGTTGGTACATTAAATAAGGGACTTGAACCAAAGCGCTTACTGCTAACTGGCACACTGCAGCTATATACTCAAGAAATAGTATCGGGCCAGACAGGTGGCTCAGGCCTACGATCCCAGCACTTTGGAAGGCCAAGACAGGAGGATCCCTTGAGTTTAGGAGTTCAAGACCAGCCTGGCCAACAGAGTGAGATCCCATCTCTATTAAAAAATAAAAATCTTAAAAAAAAAAAAAAAGAAAGAAAGAAAGAAGGAAAGAAATTGTATGGGAAAGGGCAGGAGAAAGGAAATAACTTTCAGAACATTTTTTGTGTTCACTCATATAACCTGCTCATCCCATGGCCTTCCCCATCTAAATAAAGGCAGTAACTATGCACAATTGTTTAAGCCAAAATAGGGAATTCATCAACTCCTCCCTTTGCACATATTTCCATTTCCAATCCATGAACAAGTACTACTGGTTTTAAGTCTCAAAGATCTCCCCTAATCCAAATAAATCCCATCCCCTTTCTCTACATTTCTGGTGCCACCACCTTCCCAGGTACAACCAATTGCTGACAGATCTTGCCTTCACCCTACTAGCTGTTCCAACATAACAGCCACATGATTTTTTTAAATCCTAAACCAAACATTTCCCCCACCTGCAGGAGAATCCAAAGTCTATAATACAACCTAGAAGACAGGTTCCACATGATCCAGCCTAGACTTTCCTTTCCAACATCATCTCAGATCACTGTCCATCTTGTTCACCACACTCCAAGACCAATGGTCTTCTTTATCTTTCCAGAACCTAAATACAGGAATCCCAAATGCTTGGAATCCTTAAACACCTGTTTTCTTTTTCCATGCTTCAAATCTCAGCTCAAAGGTCAGAGGAAGCTTCTCCAACACCCTACTAAAGTAGCCTGTGCCCATTACGGTCATATCATCTGGTTCGTTTTTTTTCTGTGTGAAATCATCTCATGGCCAGGTGAAGTGGCTTATGCCTGTAATCCCAAAATTTTGGGAGGCCGAGGCAGGAAGATTGTTTGAGCTCAGGAGTTACAGATCAGCCTGATCAACAGAGTAAGACCTTGCCTCCAAAAAAACCAAGTCAAAAATAAATTAAATTAAATTATCTCAGGTATTCATTTGATCTTTTGTCTCCTCACTATGACCCCCACTGGAGTGTAAGTTTTGTGCTGCACGGACTTTTTTCTTGTTCGTGCCATATCCCCAGGTCCTAGAACAATGCCTCGCATATCATAAGCCTTCAACTTATTGATTTTCATTCATTCTAAGCCAGGGGCCAATCTTTTTGGCTTCTCTGAGCCACAATGGAAGAATTGTCTTAGGCCATGTATAAAATACACTAGCTAACACCAACAATTGCTGATGAGTCAAAAAAATAAAATGGCAACAAAAATCACATAATGTTTTCGGAAAATTACAAATTTGTATTGGGCCATATTCAAAGCCATGCTGGGCCATATGCAGCCCACAGGCTTCAGCCTGAACAAACTTGTACTAGATAGGTAAGAACCCTCCATGTTTAAAGGAAATCCAAATAAAAGACTATATTATGCAATCTACCTTGACGAGCTATACCAGTGCCTTCAATTTCAGAAAACTATTTCTGTCATGTAACCCAAGTCCCTTAAGGTGCAATTTAAATTTTCAGTAAAGATAGTCACTTTTCCACCTTTCAAAGGATAGCAATCTTTTATTTGTCTCTTGTCTTTTGTTTCACTTTTTAATCTCTTTATTCACAGCTTTTCTCTCAACTTCCACAAATATCTAGAAAGATTATAACCAAAATCAGTAGTAGATTTTGTGCATCAAAGCATTCAGTCAATTTAAGAACAGCATCAAACTTCTGGTCACTATGAGTGCCAGACATATTTTTATAATCCTGAGAAAGAAGTCAAAATTTAGTCATTTAACATGTCATGTCTATGTTGTTTGCTCACACTTTCTTACTAAGTATTGTGACCTCCACTTAAACCGCTTGCCGTTTTTTTAACCTGGCCTGTTATTCAAAATAATATAATTTCTCAAAGCTCTATTAGCTTTTGTTTCACTTTTTTTCTAGGAGATTTATTTTGTGTGAGAACTCTGGGCTTATATAACAAAGTACTTAAGAGCAGGAAGCACCACTTAAATGACCACATTTAAAATTAGTTTCCTGTACCTAGTGCTATGGTTTGGATGTGCATTGTCCCCACAAAAATTCATGTTGACATTTGATCCCAAATGTGGCAATACTGGGAGGTGGGTCCTAGTGAGAGGTATTTGGGTCATGGGAATGGATCTCTTATGAACAGATTAATGCCCTCCCTGGGAGTGAGGGACTGAGTTCTCACTGTGGGGGTTGATAGAAGAGTCTGGTTCCCTCAGTTTCTCTCTCTTGATTCCTCTCTCACCATGTGATCTTTTTTGCACACACCTGCTCCCCTTACACTGTCCACCATGAGTTGAAGCAGCCTTGAGGCCGCTTCCAAATCTTGAACTTTACAGCTACCAGAATTATGAGCCAAGTAAACCTTGTTTTTTAAATAAATTACCCGGTCCCACCACAACCTCTGCAGCCTCAGAGCTGGCCGCCGCCATCGCCGCCGCCGCCACCACCACCGTCATCTCCGCCGCTGCCTCTGTGGCGCCCTTCCCCTTCACCGCCCCCTTCGCCGCCTCTACACATTCTAGACCTTCTGTCCTGGAGAAGAAGCTATAGTCGGTCTCCCTCGTGGGCCTGGGGCACAGCCAATGGCGGACGGCAGCGGCGGCGGCGGGGGACCCGGCGCGGTGGGCGGCGGCGGAGCGGGCCAGGCCTCTGCCGGGGCAGCGACTGGCGCTACTGGGGCCAGCGGGGGCGGTGGCCCCCTCAACCTCGCCTCGCTGCCTCCCGGCGACCCGCAGCTCATCGCTCTCATCGTGGAGCAGCTCGAGAGCCGAGGCCTCTTTGACAGCTTCCGCCGGGACTGCCTGGCCGACGTGGACACAAAGCCAGCCCACCAACACCTGAGGCAGAAAGTGGATAATTTTGTGTCAACACATCTGGACAAGCAGGAATGGAATCCTACAATGAACAAAAACCAATCGCGAAATGGTCTGAGGCAGAGCGTGGTTCAGTCAGGGATGTTGGAAGCTGGAGTAGACAGGATTATTTCTCAGGTGGTGGATCCAAAACTAAACCACATCTTCAGGCCACAAATAGAACGAGCAATTCATGAGTTCCTGGCAGCCCAGAAAAAAGCAGCTGTGCCAGCACCCCCTCCAGAGCCCGACGGCCAGGACCCACCAGCTCCATCCCAGGACACTTCCTAAGAATATGCCTGTCACCTTTTGAAAGCTCAATTTTTGGCGAAGAAATGGATTCGGTTACATAAGAGAGCAACTTCAGACTGAAGATAAGCCAAGGTCATCACTGGTCTAAAGATTTCAACCTTGACTATGGGCAGTAAACAGATTGAAAGGGGAGCAAGTTCAGCAGCAGGGAAGCTGACCGTGTCACCCCCTGCATTGTGCTGCCATTTGGTCCTCTGTCCAGGGGTGTGACACCAAGTAGACACTACAGAGAGAGAAACACTACAGCAACCCAGGGTTGTCCTGAAACAGACTTTACTTGAACATGGAGACTGCACATGGACTTTAGGGTTTGTGCTCTGGGATAAACGAAAGCTACAGTAAGAGAACAGAACCAATCCCAAAGACGGTTTGAAAGAACAATGACAGTAAAGGTTAACTGGGGGTGGTATTTAACAGTGCTTATTTGATATTGTCTCCCAGAGTTCCAAACTAGATTGTACAAGTCATTAGCATCAGATAGCTTTAAAGTTGTGACCTTCTTGTACATGAATATTCTAGCCAGTTTCCTTTCCTTTGTAATACGTAACAAAACATGAAATCCTAGAATGTGTGAAAAGTTCAGACATGAGGTATAAGGAAACTCATCTGCAGGCTCTCTGTCCGGAACTGCTTCCTGTCCTGCAGGGGCTAGCGAGTCTTACATATGTTTACTTTATTCTCACATTTGTGTTTTTTTTAGGAAAGTGGTCAGTAAATGACTTATCTTTCATAATAAAATCATTTGATACTCTTAAAAAAAAAAAAAATTACCCAGTCTCAGGCATTCTCTTTTAGTAACACAAAATGGACTAAGACACCTAGCTTCAGGGTTTCCATTGTTACTTAGTGTACATAGTATTGAAGGATCACAACATGACCTCCTAGTCTTTCAGCAAGCCATCGTCACCTCTCACCATTAACTGCTCCTCTCTGTTCTCAGTGTGGATTAAAGAAACTGGCACCCTTTCTCTCTGCCAAATACCCTGATTACACCATCTCCCATTTCCTGTCTTCTTGATCCAAAAATTGACAAGAAGTGAGAAAACCAAAAATATTTTGTAAATGTACCAAAATGTTGCAACAATTGAGAAACCCAGAATCTTTTGAATCATATCTTAGAACCTTTTTTTAAAAAAATTAATAATATGTAGGCTACAGAGAACAAGTTATCCAAAATCCTTTTAAAATTCAAATTAGTTGGCTGTGTGGCGGCTCATGCCTGTAATCTTAGCACTTTGGGAGGCTGAGGTGGACGGATCACAAGATCAGAAGTTCGAGACCAGCATGGCCAATATGGTGAAACCCTATCTCTACTCAAAAATACAAAAATTAGCCTGGCGTGGTAGCCATGTCTATAGTCCCAGCTACTCAGGTGGCTGAAGCAGGAGAATCACTGGAACCTGGGAGGCGAAGGTTGCAGTGAGCCAAGATAGCGCCACTGCACTCCAGCCTGGGTAACAGAGTGAGACTTTGTCTCAAAAAGAAAAAAAAATTAGTAAGTCAAAAAACAGAAAATAAAAACTAGAACTTTCAGAAAGTCAAAGTTCATTTTTTTCTAGCAATCTTAAACATTCCGCTTTGAGGCTTTAGGAAATATTTATACACACCAGAAAGTCATCAATGTGAGGTTAACACATAAGAATTTTTAAATAGCTGTGCTTTCAGAGTATACATACCCTTCCCTTTAATCAATGCATACTATAAAGAAACATTAAACATTGTACCTACCTTAGCCGGAGGAACTTTTCCAGCAGCTGTGATCTGACCAGTAAAAAAACGTCCAAAATGATTTGCTGCTAGGACAACAGCCTTATAACTTTAAAAATAAAGAAACAAATAGATAATTCCACAAAAGGAGAGATTTCAGGCTCACATATCATCATAAGTCATCAATGAAGTTTCGTCAAAGAATAATAGCTAATATTTATATAAGTATGTACTATGTGTCAAAAACAGTTCTAAGTGTTGTATATACACTTACTCCTTTAGCTTTCACAATAAGTCTATGGATAGGTACAATTATTACCTTCATTCCATAGGTGAGAAAAATGAGATATAGAGAGATTGAGACTTGCCCAAGGTCACTCAGCTAGTAAATGTGAGAGCCAAAAGTTTAACACAAGCAGCCTGCCTACAGAGGCACTCTCTTATCCCTTATGCTACCCAGCCTCTTCATAACAAGTACTATAGAACATAATAGAAAATTAAATGAAAGAAAGATAGAAAAATACTAACACTGATTTTCTTTGTGTGCTAAGACTATACATCCTTCACACTTACTTTACTATGTTGTCCAGATTTTCTTTGATGACTGGGTAGGGCTTAGGTAATGGGAGGAAAATCTTTAAAATAAATAAAATTAGCTTAGCCATAGGCTTGTACGTAATAAGATTCCAGCCTCAGAGAACAGAAGAAACACTTCCCTTGATCTCTGATGGTTCAAAGTACGGGATTTTCAGACAGACTGACCTTAGTTCAAGTCCTAGTTCTATGACTGATTAGCTTTGTGACCTTGGGCAAATTTTTAAAATTTTCTTAATCTTGGTTTCCTCATCTATAAAGTGAGAACAAAAAGCATCTATCTTTTAGAGTCATGAGGACTAAATGAGATAACGCAGGTGAAACAGTTAGCATAAAGCCTGTCACATAGAAAATGCTAAGTGAATATTAAGTGTTTTAGCCACAGAAACAAAATATGCAATAAATCTAATAATATGC